AGTATCAGGTGCCCCATGAAGTGTTGGCAAGGGGCCCTGGTTCCCCAGGTTTGGGGCATGAATAGGATGAAGGAGAACTTGGAATGACAGAATGAAGAGGTCCTGCCCCACCAAGGGCTATTCAGCAAAGGGAAAAGACAGGAGGAGAAGGAAAAGGTAAGGAACACGGGAGGTTGCAAACAATCTTTGGGCTGAAACATAAGGAAATAAAGGTGTCACTCCACCTGGACACTGGGTACACAGGCATCTCCAGGCAAGGAAAGGGACATGGAGGGAGAGTGAAAGGAGCTCCTTTCTTCCAGAGTCCACACCCAGCAGCTCATTCTACTCTGGGACGGCCCCTAAGGGGATGTGGGACACATTGGAATCAGCACACGATAGGCAGAAAACAATGGAGTCTAAACGAAAATACCTCATGACAAACAATGGAGGGCTCTCTGGAGTTGGGGGAATAATCTGAGATGAGGGTAAGAGGAGACTTTGCAAAGGCCCAGAACTTCACTACCTGTCTCTGACACAAACATTGCAGGGGCAAGGACCACAGGAATGTCTGTCCCAACTGGAGGCAGGAAATTGAATCACTTCCATGTAGCATGGTTCCTTGTGCAGCAAGAAGAGCAGCAGAGGAAGGCTCCCTTGCAGAGATTTCCCAGGAGACCCCAAGGGAGGCAGCGGACGAATTGGAGGGAATTAACAGAGTTCTGTGACTACACTACGGTGAGTCTCCCCTGGTCCCTCCTCTTGTATGCCTCGGGGGAACCCAAGTCTGAGTCAATCAGATGCCATGAGAGGGAATTGTTCCCTCCTATGCCACCCAAGGGGATCAGTCAGTGTGCTTTTCAGGTGTCACTTCTCTTGCTTTCTTTGATTCGACACCATGCCTTGCACGTCTGCCAACACTATGCTGCTGGGGGATGTACAAGGGATTTCATCAGATGTTTCCCCAAGGTGGAATCTGTGATGGAAGAAGAGGCAGCCCCAAATTGTTCCTCAAAAGTCCTTAGCCATCAAACTACCTCCAAAATAGCTTTAGTTGTATACATTCCCCAGAAGAGCATGTGAAAGAGTTCCTGTCCAATTCATTAACAAGAGCTGTTTGTGTTAAGAAATGGTTCTATTCATATATCTGGTGTAAACCTGTGTCAAGGGGATATTGTAGTTGATTTCATCCTGATCACAACTGAGGTTGAATCCCTCACCCTATTGAAATGGATCACTTGGACGTGTTGAACTGTTCAATTTTCTATCATAAGTTCTTGGCTTTCTTCCGATTTTTTTGTCTGATTCCTTTGAATTTCTCTTTGAAGGTGAGGAAATTCTAATATGCTGTCTCTGTGTGTTGTGCTGTCTTCCAGCATGCAAACAGGCAGATGCCAGTCCACACAACCCAGAGGGAAACTGGCCTGGGCTTCAGTCATACGTGTGAGCTGCCTGTGAGGACAACTGACATGCTGTCTATAGAGCCAAAATCGCATTGCTCCTCATTTCTGGCAATCCAAAGTGTTTGGAGAGGAACTCCACAGTTTTTCCTGACTCCAGCTGGCTAAGGACACTCGCACTGGCATTTCTGTCCCCTGTGAGCCACCCCTGGGTCTCTGAGGTCTGTCGAGATTAGCCCAGAGACTCAAGCAGCCAAGGACATGCTTCCCGGTTCCCTGATCCCAGCCAGAGATGACCTCTGCCATGAAGGGGGACAAGACATCTTTCCCATATGCCATCACAACCAAAGGTTCTGATCCATAGAGCCAGAGTCTGGGACCTGCAATGCCTTTGTCTATCTCATGGGGAAATTCAACCCACACCCTCAGGCAAGCAGACGGTCTTACACAGAGAGCAGCTCTGTCCACTGTGCAGGATGAAGACCCACCAATACGAGCCATAACCATGCTGGAGAGAACAAGGAAAAATATGGGTGGATCCCAAGGGGAACAATGATGAGAAAAGACAGAGGGAGGCGAATCCAAACCATTATCGTCCTGAAAATAACTCTCAACCTAGGAGGAGGGCAAAGAAAGGACAGAGCCTCTGCATGAATTACAGACGGATGAAACACTGGACATTCTCAGACCAAACACCACACTTTCAGATCAATGGCATGCCTCTAAACACAGGGAAGCAGAGAAGGAGCCCACGCTGTCTATTTTTGCTCCACACTGTGCTGCACCCTCTGCGAGGGCCCGGATGCAGGAGGAGTGGTGGCCCGAGGCACTATTGCCTAGAAAACCCCAAAGAGTTGGTATTGGCCGGTGATACCGTTGTCTACATGGCACATCCGAGCAACATCCTAGAGCAACTCTCCGGATGGACAGTCGCTTTCAACAACGTCAGCGAGCTACTAAATCCAACTAACAAAAGACGTACCATTCGTGTCGAATTTCCTTAAAAAACACCACTTAGAAGAGGCATTGCTGACAGGAGCCCTGCGTCCCAAAGTCAATAGAGGCCTAGATTCAATCTAGGAAAACCCTTGTGGAGTTTTCTGCAAAACTATAAATGCCTCTCCTTGAAAGGCATAGAAATGGAAACAAGTGCTCCTTAACGCATCAAGCATCTGTCAAGAAGGAGCAAAGCGCTTTTCCTTCTAATGAATGGGGCACGCTTCCATGCCGTGATAAATCCCAGGGGGCCTCATCCTAAAGACGAGGACACAATGGAAAACTTAATCACAGAAACAAGAGGAGCAGAAGCAGTCTATGGAACATTGTAAAGGTACAGGTGTGACAGGGATAGGGACGGGGTAGTATTTTTTTTTTTCTTAAAGGATCTAAGTTCTTGGGGCTTGGGAGAGTTGTCATGAGAAGATCAGGTGCCAGCCTGGTTTAATGGAAAGAGGGCCCGAAGGACACTAAAGGCCAGTGGAGGGTCATGGGGCGCCACGCATTCCTTGGAATGCAAGGAGGCCACCTGGATTCCCCAGGCTACTGTGGGAGCTTTGGTGGGGACCCTGCTGCCCGTGGGGAAGGGCACCAGGATGGGACCACAAAGCCATGGTTACAGGGCCCCGGACCCAGGTCCTTGGAGCACTTTCATAAATTATTACTGAAATGCCAGTTGAAAAGTCCACACAGCTGCAAAGGGATGCGAATCACAAACTGTGGGAAATCCCCAGGGTGCCCACAAGAGGATCCGATGGAGACCCTCCCCTCCGCTGAGTGGTAGCCATCCTGGGTGACCTGCTTTGGAGCGGGAGATGGTATCTTGGCAGCCGGGAGAAGTGGCCCGGGAGAGATCATTGGGGATTTCCATTCCTAACTGTCCCCTCGTCCGAATCAAAACACAGACACCTGCCTAACCCTCTCCGGAGACTGACCCCTAGAGGATGAGCAATGGGGCACGGAAGGCCAGTATTCACCACTGACCGAGGTGACTCAGAAAGGACGCCCCAGGTCCTCCACAGCAATGCTAGCAATACAGTGATTTGACTCACAGGAACCCGCATGACGGAAGCCAGTGCCGGAAGGACAGATGCGGAAGGAGGTCTTGGCTGTGAATTCCTAGAGCCGTCCAACTCACAGAGATCCAAAGGAGAATGGGGGAGGGAGGATGTGCAGGGAGGGAGGAAGGAAGGGGTAGGGTTTCCTGGATAACGCCTTCCAGGTGGCGAGAATGCAAAGCTGGGCAGATGGAGGACAGGGACGTTCGCACAGCAACGTGCATGGACTCAATGCCGGGAAACTCTAGGCCTCCCGGTCTTGAAAGAGTCAAATCCTCTAAGGCAAACTCTACCACAATAACAAAACGGCAAAGCGCGCAGAGAAACGGGAATGGGCACAAACGTTTCCTCTTCTTACAGAGAAGAGAGAGTCTTCAAATTAGGCACCTGCGTGCCCGAAATTTTCCAATGCCTGCAAAGGCTAAGCGACAGAGGAGAGGTCATGGCCTCAGGACTTGCTTCGACCGGGGATGGGTAGATTACAGGGATCGACTGAGATCCCCCTCACAAGGTCACGTGACCTGGAAACCCTATAAAAGCCTGACCGCAAAGGACCCTTCCACACTCCCCCTTCCGCAGGCCCCTGGGAAGCTGCCCCACGGCCTGGGCAGTTGGTCCTGCACCCACCTTTCTACAGTCTACCGACGGAACGAGGAGCACAGCTCACTTTCAGGTGGGTTTCCTTTACCAATGTGGTCCTCAAATGGGGAAGGCTATGGCTTTAGGCACTAGGGCAAGGATTCTGGGATTTTCATAGGAATCTTGTGAACAGCCACTGAGGAAATACACCATTTCTCCAGTTCCAAAGCAAACAGACCCTGAGGAGTGAGGGGTCGGGAGGGAAAAGGTAGGGAAACCTCAGGGCTTGGGCGATGGGCAATTCAAGCCTCGTGAATGGATTTGTTCCTATTTAGTGCAAACGTACTCATTTGGCATGGTTTGGAAAGTAGTTAGAAATGGGGCACGAAGGCCAAAGAGAAAAGAAGACGGGTTGGGCCCTGCCGACCTTGTGAAGCTTCCCGTCCAGTGGCGGGGCAAATCTTTTTTCCATGTGAATTTCAATTGCCAAATCGCATCTCTTGATGTCAATGCGGAAATTCAAACTTTCAAGAGGAAGGCATACGTTGCTTTTGATCTTCCAATACGTGTGCCCAGGCCTGAAATCTAGCCTCTGTTCTTGTGCACACCTGGCGCAATCCTGTCTTCCTTGGTCCAAACACACCGCATCGCGAAGCACCCAAGGCAAGTCTCTCAAACCGGTCTCTCAAGGAAGCCATTCCAAAGTCACCATGGATGCCTCCTGGGTCTTGTCTTGGTCAGAGTCCTATTCGGGCGGGAGGGAGTCATGTGAGAGTGAGAACATATGTGGGAGGGAGAGATGCCTTTGCGACGAATGTGTTTGGACTCAGTGATCAAAGAGGTCCCTTCACCCAGCCTCGGAGACAGAGGTGCGAGAGGGACTTTTTTCTGTGTGTGTGTCTGATCGCTTTCTTTTTCTTTGGACTCAGGAACCCCGGAAAGCAAGTCCTCGGGGAGACGGAGGTGAGGCTCCGCACAGGTGGGGCAGATGGCGGATCCTTCCACACGGCACTGGCCTTCCAGCCTGCCCAAGGCCCAGAAACGGAAGAAGCAACCCAAGGGAGCAGCGGGGCCGAGGGTTCCCCCGGCAGAGGAGGAGGATCCCAGGGTAAGTGGAGGCTTGGGTCTGTGGGGAAGCGGGCATGGCCTGGACTCCAGGGGCAGGGTCTGACGGGGACCATTGTGTCTCCATAACTCTGTTGTCCTTCCGCGGGCAAGGCCCCGCTGTCTTGGGTCCTCCAAACCAGGCCCACGGGTCCATTCAGAGACTCGGAGGAACAAGCTCGCTTCCTATTTGCTGTCACGTCCAGCTGGGTGTTGGTCTCAGTCTTTCCATCGGGCTCCTCGTCCTCACCCTGAGACCTCCAGTCCTCCCTGCCGTGTCCCTCCAGAACATAGGCTCTGGGAGGCACCACACCCTCTTCCCCGTCCTGACGCCCACTGCCATAGGTCAAGTCCCCTGTCCCAAGGCAATAGCCTCCTCTCGAAATGTGTGCTGACAAAGCCCGCTTTGAAAGCAGCCTGTGATTTCTCTTGCCTCGGTGACCATGTCCTTCTGCCCCCGCAGGTGAAGTGCAAAGACTGCGGAGCCTTTGGGCACCACGCGAGAAGCCTGAGGTGCCCCATGAAGCGTTGGCACGGGGCCCTTGCCCCCCAGCCCTTGGGCTCCAGAAAGCTGAAGGAGAACCTGGAACCACGGCCTCAGCAGGTCCCGCCCATCCCGCGGCCCTCCAGCCAGGCGGAGAGAGAGAGGGAGCAAAGACAAAGGTGAGCACCCTGGGAGCTTGGAAGCAAGCTTTGGGCTGAAATCTAAGCAGACACACGTGTCCCTCCGGCTGCACCCCGGGCACACCGGCAACTCCAGACAAGCAGAGCGACATGGAGAGAAAGGGAAAGGCGCTCCCTCTCCTCCAGGGTCCACACTCAGCAGCTGGTTCTCCTCCGGCTCAGTCCCTAAGGGGGGTGGGGAACATTTGGGAATTTCGCCCAAGAGCCACAGAAAAGCACTGGGCTCTAACGGAAAGGACTCCTCCAGAAAAGCTGTCTGGGGTAGGGGGACGAATCGGGGGTGGGACAAAGGCCCAGGGCTTCCCTCCCCGTCTCCCTATACCACACGGAGGCGGCCTGGGCCGCCTCAAGGTCTGGCCCAACTCGGGATGGGAAAAGGAACTTGCTCCCAGCTCACGTGCTTTCTTGTGCAGGCAAGACGAGCAGCGGAGGAAGGCTCTGGTGCAGAGGTTTCCCAGGAGACCCCAAGGGAGGCAGCAGCCGAGCTGGAAGGAAGGGACAGAGTCCTGTGACTATATGAGGGTGAGTGTCCCCAGGTGCCCCCTCTTGCGCTCTTCTGGGGAGCCCCAATCTGCCTCCAGCCCCTGCTGGGAGAGGGACTTGTTTCCTCCCGTGCCCGCCAAGGGGATCAGTCAGCATGCTCTTCAGATGTCCCTGCTTTTGCTTTCTCTGGTTGGACACCATTCCTTGCACGTCTCTCAACCCTCTGCCGTGGGGGATGTGCAGGGTCTTTCATCAGAAGCTTCCCCGGGGTGGAACCCGTGATGGAAGAAGAGGCATCTTCCAATGCTGGCACACACCCCCAAATGGGGCCTGCAAACACCTCAGTCACCCAACTGCCTCCCCCACAGCCTTAGCTCTCTGTCCGTTCCCCACAACAGTGTGTGAAAGAGCTCCTGTCCGCTTCCTCAGGTGGAGACGTTGGCGATGAGGAAGCTTTCTCGTTTCCTCTCTGACGTCAACCCGTAGCAAGGGAATATTGTCCTTCATTCTCTACTGGGCACCACTGAGGCTGAGTCCCTCATCCCGTTGCAACGGATCACTTGTACAGCTTGTCCTGTTCGGTTGAACGGGATAAGTGCTTGGCTTTCTTCTGGCCTTTCTCTTTGGTTGCTTTGACTTTGTCTTTGAAGGGGAGCCAGTTCTCATATGTGGTCTCTGTGTGTTGTGTTGTCTTCCAGCATGCAAACAGGCCACTGCCGGTCCACACAACCAAGAGGGAAACCGAGCCGGGCCTCGAGCTCCCGTGGAGGCTGCCTGTGAGGACACCCTACAGGACGTCCACTGGCTGTGCAGGATCTGCCATCCAAAGTCCTGGAGTGAGCCTCTTCTCCCCTGGAGGACTTGAGCATGGAAGGGAAGTTTCTGTCCCTCCAAGCCCTCCCCGAGTGTCCCCACATTGGGCCCAGGACCCTACCGTCATGGTCCAGCTAAGAGACGAGACGCCCAGTTGGTTGTGCCCGGAAGAACCCCAGGCTGCCTGCAAGACGCAAGGCCTGGGCCACACCCCCGACACCCAGGCACAAGCCCGGTCTCTGGATGTCCAGTCGCATCCCTGCCAACAGCCTGCTGCCCATCTTTGGGACCGGCACTGCAAAATCAGCATCCAGGCAGCAGGCAAGAGAGGTCCTCGGCTCCCCGTTCACACTGGCCAGAACCTCCCAAAGAAACCGAGACTCAGTCGCTGCCAGAGCCCCCAGAGGAGCCCTCAGAGACCACATCAGGGTCTTGTCCAAACTCTCCAGCCTCCCCCATGTTCGGCAGACGAGGCACCCCAAGTCGCCACGAAGGCTCCTCCCGACCTGCAAGGCAGTGGCCTCCAGTCTGCCCACAACATGCCTCCCCTGAGCGCTGTGCAGCCCTGCACAGTGCCCCATCGTCCACCACTGCACCACGTTCCAGGCCAGCCCCTCAGAATGCTCTTCACAAGATCAGACAAGGGCTGGTGGAGCTCCAGGTTCCTGACAGCTCCCTCCTTCCATCCTGCTGAGAAGACAAGCCGTCCTGTGGAAAGCCCTCCCATCTTACAGAAGTCCGAGGGACAGTGTTCCCGGGTCCCACTGAGTGTCCTCTACGAGGACCTTCAGGTTTCCTCTTCCTCTGAAGAGAGCCTTTGGGAGGGAGACACCTCACGGCCATGAAGCCTTGTCCTCTGGCCCCAGCAGACCTGGAGGGGACTGTTGAGTCAGGAGGACGAGTCCCAGGGAGCAGCCTATTGCTCGGGAAGCAGCCACTCCCCAGAGCTGCTGGCTGCACAGATTCTGCAAACCCACATGATCCTTGGGGACACGCAGACCAACACTGCCTGCTTTCCTTATGGTAGCAGAAGGCGCCTTCCCCAGTGGACTTCTCACACTGGAATGAGAAGTTCCTTTCAATTGAAATCCATTGGATCTCATGGAGTCCAATCGCGGGCTGACTTTGAACTAGAGGAGAATGGGAAACTAGCAATTGAGTCTCTTTCTCCACTAATTTTGGAATTTTGGGAAAATGGGAAAAGATTTCAAAGCCGTGCTTTGCAGACTTTAAACTGTTCCCTGTCCTGGGATGAGATGCCTTGACTCTGTGTGTTGATTTCGGTGCCAATTATGATGGGGACTATTCTCATGGCTTTGTTCATTTTCGTGGCCAAATGTCCTGTGTAAGTTGTGTTTTCAAATGTTCTTTCAATCCTAATAAACTTCTCTCAAATATGACCCTGTGCCTGCCATTTTCTTTGCTAAGCATGTCAATGGTTTGGAAAAGCGGACGGCCTCATCCCAGTTGAGTTCACTGAGTCAAGGGAAGCTTGGTGTCTTCCATGCTTCCCAGTCAGTACAGGCTCTCTGGCACACCCAGCCCCACCGCATCAATACACGCATGGTGACAGAGTGCCCAAGCGGGTCTTTGGTAGATTCGTCCATTAGATCCACACTGGACTCAGGCGGAGAGTCTGACTAAACATGCATGCCTGAATCCTACTCCACATTATCCCCACTGAGGGTGTCTTTCTTGTTGCCTGGGCCCTGGCGTCTTCAAAGCTCTCTAGGTGATTCCAATGGGCGGCCACTTTTGAGAACCACTGGAGGGGTGGGCACAGATATCATCTAAGTCACCTGCTATCCCCAGTGTCGAATTGAGCGAAAGCTCTGACTGAGATAGAGAAAAGTCACATAGCTCTGAAGCCATGATTTCCTTAGGAACAGCAAATGACAGCCTCTGTCTCCCTGTTGGCCACCCTTCAAGAGGGGCTTCCCTCATTATGCAGGAGTCTGTGCTTCAGGAGCACAGCAGCTCCTGGTTGAGGGCACAAGGTCATGGAAGAGAAGGGAAAGGTCAAGACGCCACAGTGTGCCATGGAGCAGCATGAGGTACCTTCTGAAACGGTTCCCGTCTTCCTGGGCCCCCCTCAGAGCTGCTTCCCTTGGCCCTTGTCTCCCGGCCCCAAGCCTGGCCCATTAGGGAGTCTGACAAACCCAAAACCGCATTGCTCCTCATTTCTGGCAATCCAAAATGTTTGGATTGGCACTCCACAGTTTTTCCTGATTCCAGCTGGGTAAGCACACTCGCTCTGGCATTTCTGTCCCTTGCAAGCCACCCCTGGGCCTCTGAGGTCTGTCTAGATTGGCCCAGAGACTCAAGCAGCCAAGGATATGCTTCCCGGTTCGCTGATCCCAGCCAGAGATGACCTCTGCCGCCAAGGGGAGAAGACATCTTTCCCATATGCCATCAGAACCAAAGGTTCTGATCCACAGAGCCAGAGTCTGGGACCTGCAATGCCTTTGTCTATCTCATGGGGAAATTCAACCCACACCCTCAGGCAAGCAGACAGTCTTACACAGAGAGCAGCTCTGTTCACTGTGCAGGATGAAGACCCACCAGTAGAAGCCAGAACGATGCTGGAGAGAACCAGGACAACTCTTGGTGAATCCCAAGGGGAACAATGATGAGAAAAGACACAGGGAGGCGAATCCGAACCATTATCGTCCTGAAAATAATTCTCAACCTAGGAGGAGGGCAAAGAAAGGACGGAGCCTCTGCATGAATTACAGACGGATGAAACACTGGACATTCTCAGACCAAACACCACCTTTCAGATCAACTACATGCCTCTGAACGCAGAGAAGCAGCTAAGGAGCCCACACTGTCTATCTCTGCTCCACACTGTGCTGCGGACTCTGCGAAGGCTCAGAGGCAGAATGAATGGAGGCACTATGCCCTTTTGCAAATCAAACCTGAAATGGTTGTTATTCTGTCTTGATAGTATTGTCTACGTAGCTCATCCTAGCAACATCATCGAAAAACTCTCCTAATTGATAGCCACTTTCAACAAAATCATCACACTGCTAAATCATACTACCAAAAAAGTTAACATGCATGTCTAATTTCCATAAGTAATACAACTTAGAAGAAGCATTACTGACAATGCATTTTCTTCTCAAAATAAATAGATGCCTATATTAAATCTAGGATACCCATTTGTAGAGTTATCTGAAAGACTATAAATGCCCCTCATTGAAAGGTTATCAAAATGTAAATGAGTTGTCCTTAAATCATAATGCATCTTTCAAAAAAGAGGAAAACACTTTCTCTTCTAACGTATGCATAATGCTTTCATTCCATGGAAAATACCAAGAGATTTTATCCTAAAGATGAGAACGCTTTTGCAAAATTAATAATTGAAACAGAACCAGAAGCAGTCGTTGGAGCATTGTAGAATTACAGGTGTGACTGGGATATTTACAAATTTTTTTTTAAGGAAGATTCCAATTTGCTGGCCTTGGGAGAGTTGTCATGAGAAGGTCAGGTGCCACCCTCGTTTAATTCAAGGAGGGACCAACGGACACTTAAAGCCAGTGGAAGGACATTAGGGGACAAACATCAATTGTAATGTGGCAAGACCGTCTTGAGGCACCAGGCTACTGTGGGAAGCAAATAGGGACCCCTATTGCCAATGGTGTGGGACTCCAGGGTGGGACCACCATGCCATGGCTACAGGGCCACAGACTCATGTCCTTGGAGCAGATTCCTAAAGAATTAATGAAATGCCAATTAAAAGTTCATACAATGGGAATGGTATGTTAATCACAAAGTGTGTGAACTCCCTGGAGTGTTAACAAGATGTACCAATGGAGACAATCCACCTGGGTGAGTGGTACTGGTCCTTGTTCACCTGACTTGGAGGTCAACATGGTCCCTAGGCATCCAGCAGAAATTGCCCAGATGAGATCATTGGGGATTTCCTTTCTTAACTGTCCCTTCATCAAATCACAGACGCATGCATAAACTCTCTCTGAGACATGACTGCTACAGGAAGAGAAACGCTGAAGGTAACAGAAATATCACCCACTTGGAGAGGTGACTGAAAAAGAAAGTCCTGAGTCCTTGACATCAATACTGTGAAGACAGTGATTTGACACAAGAACAAGCGTCAGGGAAGCACGTCCCAGAAGGACAGATATGGAAGGAATCTCTGTGAATTCCTAGAGCCGTGCAATTCGTAGAGATAGAAAGGAGAATGGGGGAAGGAGGGTCTGCAGGGAGGGAAGGGGGAAGGGTTAGTTTGTCATAGAATCGGCCTTTCAGGTGGAGAAAATGTGAAGCTGAGCAGGGACGGTTGAACGACATGAATGGACTTGGTGCCATGGAACTTTAGGCTTCACTGTCTTACAGTAGTAAATAACATCTTACACAAACTCTACCTCAATAATGAAAATTCCAAGTGCAGAGAGAAACAGGCGTAGGAACAAATGTGTACTTTTCTTAGAGGGAATAACTATTTTTAAAATTAGGCACCTGTGTGCTGGAAATATCAAAATGCCTGAAAAGGCTAAATGACAGAGGAGAGTTCATGGCTTCAGGACCTGCTTAGACCAAGGGTGGGTAGATTACATGGATCGATTCAGATCCCATTCACAAGATCACGTGACCTGGAAACACTGTAAAAGCCTGCCCAGAAAGGACTGCCCCGACTCACCCTTCCCCAGGCACCTCGGAAGCTGTCCCACGTCCCGGGCAGTTAGTCCTGTACCCACCTTTCTGCAACCGACTGATAGACCTGAGGAGCACAGCTCGATTTCACGATGATTTCCCTTACAGATCCGGTCCTCACATTACCCCTCTGAGAAAGAGGACAGTAGGAAAAATAGGGAGTGATGTGGCTTTAGGCATTTGGGTAAGGATTCTCTCAGTTTCATAGTAATTCTAAGAACAGACACCCATTATACAACATCATTTTCAATGCTAATGATTACATGACGTTCAAATTCCAGAGGAAATAGGCACCAGCACCTGATGTGTGTGGGGCAGTCAGGGGGCAGTTATGGAAACCTGGGGGTTGGCCTATGGGCTTTTATAGCCTAAATAATGTTATTTGTTCATAGTTTGTTCAACCATATTCATTTCACATTGGTTGGAAAGTAGCTAAAAATGCGGCATGGAGGTAAAAAATAAAACAAAGACATGGATAAACTACCGACCCCCTGAAGCTTCTTCTCTAGTAGAGGAAAAAACATATTTTCTACGTGAATTTGAATTTGACAATCGCCTCCTCTTAACGTCAAAGAGGAAATTCAGATTTCAAGAGGAAAGCATAAGCTGCGTTTGCTTTCCAAATGCATGTGCCCAGGCATGAAGTGCAGCATGGATTCTTGTGCAAACCTGGAAAAATGCTTTCTTTTCCCAAATGCAGTGCATGCTTATGCACCTAAGCAGAGTCTCTAAAATAAGCCTTTCGAGGATGCAATTCCAAAGTCACCATGCACGGGTCCTGTGTCTTGTCTTGGTCAGAGCCCTATGCTGGGTGGAGGTAGTTATGTGAGAAGGATGACTCTTCTGGGAGACATAATCTAGTTGCCCCTTTCATGCAATGTCTGCTTTTTATGAATTGCTTATATTTAAAATTGCATTGCCTTGTTTATCTGCACTTCATTTATTATTTATGAATCAGTTTATAGCATGTTATTCATCATAGGACGATGCTAATCTGTGAATTTGCTGATCATGTTCCTTTCTTCCAGATGTTTTGGTCGTTTTCCTTCTTGCTGAAGCAGTGGGAATGATTTTGTGTTTCTTTGCGGGCAGTTCTGCATGTTGGCGTTGTAGATACGCACTCCCATTCTGTAGCTGGTCTTCTATTGTCATGTGATGTTTTCCATTTTTCATGTAGTTAGACTTTTAATGTTTTCTCTTGTAGTTCACATTTTATAATTTTTAAACAAGTTTCTCCAACCTTTCAGTTTATGATATTTTTACTTTAAATTTTATTGTGAATGTTTACATGCTTTCCAGTTGTATACCCAGCCCTTGATGCATCCCATATTTATTCACGGAAGTCATAAAAGTCAGGGAAATAATTCAGTTTGTTTCCATCCATGAGAAGTGTGTAATCCACTATTTCCTTACTGATGGGCAAAGCCACTGCTTACCTTTCAGTATTTATCATATGTCAAGGTCTGTTAGGTGTTCTGCTCCCTAAGTCTCTGGGTTTATGATGATGCCGTCTCCACCTTCTCTCCATTCGTGTTTTATTGCGATAGCTCTGGGTGCCTGGTGCGGGGAATCCCTTCCACTGTTGCAATTATTCACATTTTGCATACATTACTCTTAGCTGTGAGTTGGTAATGGTTAATTTTTTATTGCCTCCTCATGCCTTAAGATAAAATCTGTCTGGGCTTTGATTAGAATTGATTGAATTACATTGGAATTACAGAAGAATACGTGTTTTTGTCATTTTTCCAACTATGTGTTCGTCTCTACTTACCGACATGTCCAATCATTTCAACCAGGGATATTTTATAGTTTTTTCAGAAAACGTTACAGAGGTTTCATTAGATTTCGTTTGTGGAACTATTTATTTGGAATGGGCATTGCCAATAATCTCTCTTCTGAATTATGGTTTCTTTTATTGAAATTATATGTGAAACTTAGATGTTTTGTTAGATTGGTCTTGACTCCAATAATTTTGCTGAAAGTGGCTGTTAGTTGTAAGAATTTTTCTATCACGTTGCTGAGAGGTGCTATGTGAACAGTCATATCACTGGTCACTACCAAATAGGTTGGGGTTTTATTTGCAAGAGTGAACAGTGCTGCCATTTCTCCTGCCTCATGGCCCTGGCAGTGTGTGCAGCTCAGTGTGGAAAAGCAGCAGACCCTGTGGGTCCTTGTCTGTTCTCTGTCTTTAAAGGCATAAAGTTGGTGAATGACGGTTAAAAAAAATAAAAAATAAAAGCATAAAGTTTACCTTAAATCAAAATTTTTGGTATAAGAACCTACAGTTTTTCAGTAGCCTGTTTTTCTTTTATGGTTAATTTCATCAAGTGCCGAAACTTTGCATATATTAATTTCATCATCTTTTCCTCTACAAATCTATACTGTTAGTTTTAATAATAGACTTTCTATTCTTAAGAGTTTATAGCAAGTAAATTTAATGAGGGGACCTTGTTTAGATCATTGTTCACAAAAGCAACAGTAAAACATACATTTTTTACTTATTTAGAAAATTGTGAATGGAAATGGACATTAGAAGATATTAAAGAATTTTCTGAATTTTGGTTATAATGACCTCAAAAAATTTTACTGGTATGTCAATTAGTGCTGTATTATTTATGAGTAACGAATTTCTCGTATTCTGTTTATTAGATATAAATTATTCTGGGAAGATAACATGATTCCAGGGTTGCAAATGATAGAATCCAGCTTCCCCCACCGG